GTATGGTTGTGGAGACTCTAGTGTACAGTCTCTGGCTTCGTGGAGGCAGGGAAAGGACACATTTCATTGTCCTGGTGTTGTATTTGCTCTTTGAGCCCAGCATCCTGTTCAGGTTTAGCAATGTGTTCTCAAACTTAACTTTTCCAGTGGTGGCCTTCGGGCTCTCGTCTTTCTGACCATGATAGAGATAATAGCTCTTTTGATAGGTCAGTTTTGTGGTGTTCTAGGAGTCATTCCTAATACACAGCCATGGGCCCATCACTTTCTTCAATACCTAGAGTGGTTTCTGTTTCCAAACCCTGATTTATACACTTAATTTCTAGAATTGGCCATGCCTCTTCCCACTATTGGGTCGTTATACTTGCTAGTCCTTTTGCCTAAACCTTTTCCCTTTGCCACTCCTCAAACATCACATTCCCTGGGAAGTCATCCCTTACCCCTAAGACCAGATCACATCTCTCAGTTAACTTCATATATATCCTTTGGATCTCAGTTCAAACATCACATTCCCTGGGAAGTCATCCCTTACCCCTAAGACCAGATCAGCTTTCCTTGTGTCGAAAAGAGAAATTAATAGCAGATGTCTTGCTTTGATTTTGGAGTTTTTTCTTACCCACAAAACCAAATATTCTTTAAAGAAATCCCTGACCAAAAATTAACCCACCAGCAGCTTTTCTTTCACCCAAAGTTGCAAATCCTTTCTTTCCAGTTGGAAGCCAGGCTACTAAATTTGAATCTCAAAAGATATGGCTGGGTGGAGGGGCAGAGACTGTCTTGTGAACTGATATCGCATGACCTCAGAAACGAGGAGGGCAAGGGTCAATCAGTCATGTTAAGACTAGTCAGTCGTTGATCTTCTGTATTTCTCCCTGCTCATTTGTTTATAAGCCCCATTATACCTAGCTTCTTGGAGCCATTTGCTTTTTCTGGAATCAAAATGGTGTCCCTACATAGGGTCACTATGAGTCAAAATCAACTCCATGGTAATGGGTTTGGTTTTTTTTTAATATGCATATAAGGAGCCCTGGTGGCACAATAGTTAAGTGCTTGGCTGCTGAAGGAAAAGTTTGTGCTTGGAACCCATCAGCCGCTCCTCAGGAGAAAGATGTGGCAGACTGCTTCTGTAAAGACTACGGTCTTGGAAAACCTATGGGGCAGTTCTAGTCTGTCCTATAAGGTCGTTATGAGTCGGCCAGCAATGATTTTTATATGCATATAGAATAACTGCTCAGAATAAACCTTATGTTCAAACTTCAGTGAATAATGATTATTTTTAACACTTGTTAAATACTATCGCCCCGTATGTTTCTTTCAATACATTATCATAATTTGTGTTAAAAAATGTAATCATGTATTAATCAAAAGACTAGCACAATATTTGACAGCTCTGTGATTTAATAAACAATTTACACATTGGGGCAACTTCCCCTCATGCGTGGAGCCCTGGTGGCGCAGTGGTTAAGAGCTCGGCTGCTAACCAAAAGGCTGGCAGTTCGAATCCACCAGCCGCTCCTTGGAAACCCTATGTGGTATTCTACTCTCCTATAGGGTCGCTATGAGTTATAATCAACTCAAAGGCAGTGGGTTTTGGTTTTTTGTTTGTTTGCTTCCCCTCACGCAAAAGGAGCCTGCTTCCAGAGAATGGAGAATTCACAGAGACTTAAATAACTTTTGCTTAAAGATTACAGGTTTCCATGGTGGTGAATGAGGTGACATTAAAAAGGGAGTTAACAGTGATGATGGTGATCGGGAAAAATCGCGTTGCTTAAGGGTAGGGTTGCACAGCTGATTATTGTAATTGCTGTCAATGAGTTGTACACCTGTAAAAAGTTGAATTGGCAAAAGTTGTGTGATAGATATATTTACAATAACAACAAGAGTGGCTGCTGAGGCTGCTTAGGTACAACTAAATACCTCATGGGATTTGGTTCCTTGGTTTGGCGGTTTAGGGTCATGGTTTCATGGAATATCCCAGTTAATTGGCCTAATAACGTGTTTAGTGCTTCTGTTCTACCTCCTAGTTCATTGCATAGTGCCTGGGGTCTTAAAAGCTTGCAACTGGCCATCCAGGATACAATTGGTCTCTATTCACCTGGACCAACAGAGGAGGAAAGATAGTCAGGAATAGGAGGATATGGAATGTGTGGCTAATTGCCTCTGTGAACAACTGTCTCCTTTGCCATGAGACCAGATGAACTGGATAGTGCCCGGCTACCATTACTGAACATTTTGATCAAAGATTCCGTAGAAGAATCCTGATCAAAAGGGGGAAATGCAGAACAGAATTTCAAATTCTCATGGACCCTAGACTTTCTTGAGTCATAGAGGGTGGATCAACCCCTGAAACTACTGTCCTGAGATAATCTTTAAACCTTAAACCAAAAATATCCCCTGAAGTCATCTTAAAACCAAACAATAGTTTAGCTTAACTAGTAAAAAACGTCTGCCTTGAGCATTATGCTCTTTTAAGAACTACCTATATGGAATCAAATTGACAACAGCAACTCAAAAGATTAGATAGGAACATTAGGGGCAGTGAGTTTAATGAGGGAGGAACGACTCAGAAAATGAGGGTGAGAATGATTACACAACTCGACGAATGTAATCAATGTCGCTGAATTGTACATGTAGAAATGATTGAACCGGTGTATGTTTTGCTGTGTATATTCTCAACAACAACAAAATGAATAGAGTTTAGAAAAAAATAAAAGGTAACTTTCTAGAAGCTTTGGTCCTCCATTCATCTGCAGCCCTGAGACCTCTAGAAATTTAAAGAAGCCTAGAATCTTTTTCATTAAATCACAAGTTAAGATTTTGTTATTGTCTGCTCTTTGAACACGAAAGAAAAGATTAGCAATTTGGGTGAGAGGAAAAAAAAAATCACTGGCAGGATTAATTTTGGGTCAGGAATTTTAAATTCTCGGATGAGAAAAAACCAGTTTCCACTGGGTCGATTCCGACTTATAGCGACCCTATAGGACAGAGCAGAACTGCCCCATAGGGTTTCCAAGGAGTGGCTGGTGAATTCAAACTGCCAATCTTTTGGTTAACAGCTGAGCTCTTAACCACTGTGCCACCAGGGCTCCTCTTGAAATAAAACAACTATTTTTAACACAAATTTGATTCCACATTTGTAAATTATGTATATATATAATGTGTGTGTGTATATATATATGTGACTCTAGAATTTGAGTTCTAGGAGACTTGACTGTTTTGCTCTGCTCTATTCCAATGCCTAGAAAGAGCCTATATAGAGTTGATGCTTAATGTACATGTATTGAGTGAATGAATGAATGAATGGAATATAGGAGGCCAGACTGGAGGCTCTTAATTTAGGACAAAAAATCAAGCCTCTTAAATAAAGCCAGCAAGCCCTGTGTTACCTCCTCTTGGCCTTTTTCCCCACCCACATCTTCCTATGACTCTGATCTTCCTACAGACTGTTTTTGCTGCCTGGATCTTTCTTCCCTCTTTGTCTGCCTCTTTCTCATTTTGCACGTCTCAAACATCATTTCTTCTAGGAAACCTCTACTTCAGATGATTCTGTACTCTTTGAATTTTTTTTCCAGAATATCTTAAAATACTTTGTATGATTTAGAAAATTGCCTGCGTGTTATTTACCTGTATCTCTCACCCCGAGTGAGCTGTCTTGTTTATGAGTATATGCAGTGTTTTGCTCATAATGGTCCCTATTATTTGTTGAAAACTGAACGTCCGCCTGCATGTTAGCCCCAGTCTGGGGATCTGCACACTCCCCTGAAGCCCATAAACAGGGAGGAATTGCAATTTGGGGGCTGTCTGATTAGGAGGAAGCTGGGGGAGGCTTGTCCCACCGCAGCCAGGATTCATTCCCTGCACTGCCAGGCAGCCTGGCCCTGGAGCGGATCCTGTGGGGGCAGGGCAGGGAAGTAGTTTCTTCCTCTGTTCACACCAGGAGAGCCGGCAGGGGGAGGGGAAGGAGAGAGAAGGTTCCTACTGGGAAGGCTCCCTGGCACAGCGCCGGCTTTGAGGAGGGGGCGGGGAGCATAGTGAATGCAAGCTTTCTCCCCAGCCTTAGGCCTCCAGCCTGGTAAGGGGGAGGGAGACCGCAGGCAGATGAGGAGAGGAAGAGAGGCGTGGGGGGAAGGGAGGAAGGAGCAAAGGGGTGAGCCGGGTAAGGTCTGGTTGTTGTGAAAGACAGGAAGGAGGGGCTGAGATGACTCCCACCAGGCTACAACTCCACTGGATCAGCTCTGGAAATAGCCTCAAATCACTGAATTAGAGAATAAATACACTGGGAACCTTAATTCTTAGGAACAGATCATCTGAACATCTCAGAGCTGGAAAATCCTTCAGAGGGTTGTGTCTGGGGTTTGCAGGACACTAGATGGAGTCAAGAACCTTGACCTTTTTCTGCCTGCTGAATAGGGCCCAATCTCTGGGGCGGACTGGGAGGAGTGGGTCAGCTTTCTGGAAAGTTTCCTGGATCCCCCTTCTCGCTTCCTGTTAGCACTGGGATAGTTATTTTTCTAAACCTAAGAATACTTTCCACTCCATTCATGGCACTTACAATAACTTGAAGATATGTGGCTAGCATCTTATCTCCCCCTTCCAACCGGTTTGTCATTTTCCTGGGAGCAGAACCAGTTTTATTTATTTTAGTACCATTCACAACCGGGGTCTCAAACCTGGCTGCCCATCAGAATTTTTTAGGGTGCCTTACTAAACATAGTGATTCTGATTCCCTGGGGCTGGGTTAGGCTTAAAACTTCAGTTTTAAAAGTGTCTTAGGTGATTGTGATGCTTTGGATTAAAGCAACATTCCAGAGGAACTGGCGAAACAAGGTAGGTGTTAAGTGTTGGCGGGAGACCTATTTGCAGGGTAAACAAATGGTGTGTAGAAGTCCAGATTGAACTAGGTCTCACTACTCATTTGTGGGCAGGCTGGCAGGTCCTGCAAAGATTTGGCAGGGAGGGCGAGATGTTCATCTAACACTTTGAAAGGAAATAGAGCAGCAGTATTAGCAATACAAAAGATAAATATTTATTCAGAACCAAACTTTTAACAATCGATTTTACATTCTAAGCCACAAAGAAATAGCAAAACATAAAGCAAAGGACAAAAACTAAGAGAAAAGCAGTGTACTATCCTTTCTACTTTAACTTGATTAACAGTTAACCCATGCCTTCTTGCTTGGCATATTTTGCAGGTACATTTTAACGTTAACTCACTTATAATTCCGGGTTAAAACTGCCTTTCTCCTGAGAGTCAGGGGGTTGCAGATGAGCTCAAGCTAGCTGCTTCTCTGGGGTTCTTAGCTATGAGGCTAAGGTGCAAATGTAAACCTTTGCTAGGTTTCCTTACTTGGGAGCACCCATTTCTCATTAATGGCACTGAATGGGGAAGGAAGGGTAAGGTTCTCAAAGGACCTGGCAAACTTTATTCCAAACGTGGTACCCTACGTTAACGAGTACACCCTGGAGTATGTTCCTTGACCCTTCTCCTATCTCCCGTTTTCAGGAGTCCCTGCTAACCTTTCTCTCTCTGCGCCACTCCCCCAGATGATTTCTCGGCATTCCTCTGGGCTCACCATTCTGGGCCCTCAAGTGACAAGGAAAAAATGTTGTGAAGTGTGAGAGGTAGTGGGATGAGCACCGGGCTTGGGGTCAGGGAACTCTACTCTAGGCTCAGCTCTGGAACCTGACAGCGATGTGATTTTGACCCAGTCACTTAACCTCTCTGGGCCTCTGTTTCACCTGCTGGAAAACCAGGGGATTGGTCTAAACCAACCCTCAGATTCTTACCAGCATGAAAATTCTAGAGTCCATGATTCTATAAAAAATGGCTTCTGAACCGCTGAAAGGGCTGTCATAAACTCCATGCATTTTTCGCCGTAAGAGAGGCCCCTGCCCACCATTCAGAGCTTATTGAATCAGATTTACATACACTTCTAACAACACTGGTTTCACAAATTCTCAGACCACACAGATTAGAAGCAGCAAATTAAAATGGGAGGGGAAGAGCTGCAAAAGGTAGACATCCTGATAGAAGCCACAGCCGACATTGTTTTCAACTCAACAAACACTGATGGAATGCCTACCACGTGCTGGGCCCCATACACAGTGCTGGGGCATAAAGATGAGCAAGGCAGCCCAAAGGGTGACAATCCGGGGAGAAGACATGGTATGGGGTGAGGAGTTGAAGTTATTTAAAAAAAAAAAAAAAAATCAAATATAAAAACAAAACCAAAATTTAAAACAAGGGAAGGGTGATATATCTGCACATTACAGTTCTCGGCAGTCAATTACTGATGCGGGTCACCAATTCAGAAAAGGCTGAAATGGAGTAAACTCGGCTTAAGAAGGCAAAGAGATGTCTCTTGCAGGTTTTAAAAAGATGTCCTTCAAAAATGATAAAAAAATGGTTTAAAAAAAAGTTTTGGCACTTAAGAGGGGTAAGCTGGCTGTGTGCACACCCCGGCAGCTAGCAGGCTGGCGGGTGTTCAGTGACCGGCCACGCCGGTGAGCTGAGCTGCCACGGAATTGTGAACTGCTTTGGGGCACTGGGCAAAAGCGTGTCCTCGCTTGCCACAGAGATTACACACGATGCCCTTCCGGCAGTAAGGGCTCAGGTGCCCCTCCTCCCCGCACCTGAAGCACCTGTCCTGCGTGCAACTGCCACTCATGTGGGTCCGGGAACCACATTTAAAGCACGTCTTGGGCTGCCCCTTGTACCAACTGTATCCCCTCTCGGCCCCCAGGAAGAAGGCCCCCGGCAAGTGCCTGATCCCGCCCTCCCCCTGGCGCAGCTCGATCTCGCATTTGTACTCCCCGGTCCAGATCCCAAACCTGTCGGTCACTTTCACGGGCACGGCCAGGACATCGCAGTGGCGCTTGAGCCAGGTCACGATGTCCTCCACGTCCACCGTCTCATTCCGGAAGAGGATGAAGAGCGTCTTCAAGCTGGACTTGCTCCGCCCCAGCACCACAAAGTTCTCCCAGCAGTCCTCCTGCTCGCGCTTCTCCTCGTAGACTCGTAGGAACAGTGCCAGCTTCTCCGCCGAGCGGAAGCTCACGTCGAACTCACGGCTGCCCGGGATCTGGATGACCGCGTAGATGTCGCTCGGGTCCATGCCAATGGAACGCAAAATGAGCGCGCCCACCACGAAGTCCCGGGTCGGGCAGGCGCCCTCGTCACCCTGGAAGCAGATACGCACGAGGAAGCGACCCTTGCCTTGGCCCGCCGCGGGACCCGCCCCGGCCGCCTGCTCGTCCTGGTGGGGCCGCTCGGCCGCGTCCTCGGCCGTGCCGGGTCTGGCCGGGGCCGCCATGGCCGCCGTCTCGGCCTTCTTTCTCCTGCTCGCCTCTGCTGTGCCTTTCTTCTTGCGAGGGTCCGCTGCCTCGCCGGCAGGATCTTTCCGACGGCCCTTCGGGTCCCCGCGGCCAGCTGGGGGGAAGTCACCGAAGCCTGGTGCTGCCAAGCCCGCCGGGGCGCCGAGTGCGCCTTCGCTGCTTTCTTCCTCCCGCCGCGGTGGTCGCGACTCGCGGAACTCGCCCTTCTTCTCGGCCAGGTTCTTCACCACCTGGGCCCAGCCCAGCTTCTCGCGGCCGCCCTCCGGCTCTTCGCTCCGGGCAGCAGGCCGCGCCGGGGGCAGGAGCTGCGGCCGCCCCCGCTTCTTCTCCTCCTCCGTGCCGCCGCCGGTGGCCATTTTACCTCCTTCCCAGCATCCTCCACTCGCTCCCGCAGCCTAAGAGCGCCCATCGCGCGCGCCCGCCCGCCGGGACTGTGGGGGGTTTGTTTTTTTTTGAAATTCGACGCTTCTCTCCCCCGCCCCTCCAAAGGTATTTACATGAGGCGCATATTGGCCAGAGCCCGCCTTGAGCCCCCTCGTAACGGCTGAGCCACGTTTCCTTCTGCGCTCGCTCCAACCCCACCTCCTCTGCACGGAAGCGGGATGGGGATCTTGGAGGCGCGTCCCTTTCCCCTGCGCGGATTTGGCAGCCTCAGGCCTCGCGCTCGAGGATTTGTTATTTCGCAAGCGGTCCTCGATGAGTTCATTCAAGCAGCATTGCTAACGGCCCACAGCCCAAAGGCGGGACAGAGTTGAAGAAGATCTCGCCCATTTTGTTTTTTCTTTCTATTAAAACAAAACTTGTCTCCCTCCCCTAAAGTATAATATAATGCATTATTTTTTTCCAGTGTTAGAGATGAACATTTTCAAACAGAAAAGTTGAAAGAATTTTACAGGGAACGCGTTACCATAAACTTGATATTATTTTAATTTTTTATCATCGAAAGTTTACTATATCTTATCACAAATCTACCCATATTGCTATTCATTCATCAGCCTTTATTTTTTGGTACATTTCCAAGTAAGTCGTAACGCATTTTTATTTTTCTAAAATTTCCGTCGTATTGGTGATGACAATTATAACGTATTGAGCACTTAAATGCTCGGTACTGTGCTAAGCACATCGCAAACTTTATCAAATGGAATCTTCCAAAATGTTGCCGTAATTACACCCATCTTACAGATAAGAAGCAGGGGCTTGGAGACGGGTTAAACCGCTTGCCTCGAGGTGGCACAGTTCATAGGAAACCCCACGTGTAGGCGGCTCCATCAGACTCTCCAGGAAACTTGGATAACATGCGGATTCTCTGGCTAAATTTAGCATCTCTTCCCCCATCATCTTTCTCCGCTGGCACTTTCAAGGCATTGATAAAAGTTGGGTGGCTGAAGGGATGGGTTTAACATCACCTCTTGTCAGTTTTGTTTTCTTTCCCCATATCTGTGTCACCTTTCCATCTTTAGTATAACAAGGGTTGGTTCTGGAGTTAGGGCCACCCAGGTTTGAATCTGGCTGCTTCACACCTCAGCCTTGTCACACTGGGCCAATGATTTCCTCTCACATAGCCTTAGTTTGCTCATCCATAATAAAGGATATTAATATCTATTATCAGAAGACTGGAGCCCTGGTGGCTACTCTGTTCTGTAGGGTCGCTGAGTTGGAATCTACTCTACGGCAACGTTGTTTTTGATCAGAAGACTACTCTGAGAGTTCAGAGATAACCTGTGCCAGAGAGCTGGGTCCAGAGTAAGGTCCCAGGGAAGGCTGTTTTCCTTTCCAACAGTGTTGGATTCTTTCCTATTTCTCTCCCACGTCTTCCAGTTCTATTTAGCGTTTTGGAATCCTTGTGTAGCCCTGGTGGCGCAGCGGTTTAGCGCTTGACAGCCAACCGATAAACCCACCAGCCTGCTCCATGGGAGAAAGATGTGGCAGTCTGTGGCTTCCTAAAGATTTACAGCCTTGGAAACCCTATGAGGCAGTTCTCCTCTGTCCTGTAGGGTCACTATGAGTCAGAATCGACTTCACGTGGCAGTGGGTTTGGTTTTTTCTGGCTTGGAGTCCTTGTGAGTTCCCGGCTCATGATGTTTCCATTGATTCTGACTCCAGGTATCAGTCTAAGGGAAGCCAGCATACTTGATTCTTGTGTCATTTGTCTTTCTAATTCCCTCACTTCATAATCTTGTCCTCAAGGAAGTGGAATTTATTCTGTGGTGTTTGGCTGGAGTAGAGTGGTTATTGTCTAAAAGTTTTCTGTTTTGCCAAACTCCATTTTGTGGTCCTTTGGCTAGAGAGAGCAGCCTTTTTGTGGCTCTTTTTGTTTGTGTCTGTTTAGTGTTTCAGAGTTGCTGGCTTCATAAACTCCACATCTGGAACACAGAAGGCAAAATGATAACCCATGGTATTTTGCACCGTGTCGTTCCTTGGATCTCGAGGTCCATATCTTGTCTGCCTTCTTCTCTTCATCTTTTAAAGTCTAGTTTCCTCCTAGAAGTGAGGTACAAAACAACCCATTGGCCAGAATGAGTCACATGGCCCCAGCTAACTGCAAGGGGACTGGGAGCTGTGAGGCAGTACATGGATACTCAATGAACAATAAACTTCTCTGCTACATAATGGATTCTAGGACATTTTCTTCCTCTGACCTATAAAATGTTGAGGAGATGGCAAATGAGTTGAGAGGGGAAATGAGGATGGCATCTCACATACCTGTCTTTCCACACAAATTATTCCATCAACAAATATTTCTGAACATGTGAATGCGCAAAAGAAACCCAGGTCATTTCTAACATAGTATGTTCAGAAACCTAACTCTTGATTACCCCACTCTTCTAACCCTACTCCTTCCTAGTTTTCCCCATCATTCACCCTGCAGCTCAGACCAAAAGCTTGGAATTTATCTCCACTCTTTATCTCAAAATCTCACATTCACTTCTTTGGCATCTCCTGATCACTATTCTTCCAAAACAAATTCCAAATCTGACCACTCTCACCTCTGTCCAAGCCACTATCCTATAAACTGCTTAGAATAGTGCTTGGTTCAGGCACTGTATTTAAGTAATGACAGATAAATGTGTGTAGGCTAGGCCTGACCAACAAGTTTGCTATTTGGCTTACGTACCATTATCCCACTTTACATATGAGGTAACTGAGGCTCATGGAGGTGAAGGACCCATTGCAGGAGCATCTGTGAGATCTTTGAGCAC